CGGGAAAAACTTTGGAGTGGATCAAAGTGAGGGTAAGTTGTCGTTCTGACGAGTGGGAATGCTGACGTGCATTTGCTGGCTTGAAAAAAAAAAGAAAAAAAAACTATCATTTCAAATTTTGATTGAAACTTTGACTTTAAGAGAAGTAGTTGACGTGTGCCGTGACGTATGCTTGGGTTCGTCACTCACTGGCCACTTGATTAGGGACACTTGCAATCGTATTCAACCCCTTAAGTACGTAATAACTAACTGGTCTTGTAAATTTGCACGATTATGAAGTGCTGCTATAAAAGATGGAGTGTAACCAAATCAAGTGCTGAATTAAACGACCAAATGAAAAATCGCTGCTCATCAAATGACGTTTCTGATGCAAAACGTAATCGCAACGTTCGATGTTTAAGTTGAACGAAAACGTTGGTATGTTTTCACAGATGTATTATATATTACATATATATCATCTATTCTAGTTGAACGAAAACGTTGGTATGTTTTCACAGATGTAATGAACTATTTTTAGCACGAAACACTTTTAAAAAAATCGTGTTTTGTTTTTCTGGAATTCAAATGACTTCACTTCATTCGGTCCATGTACACTTACCAACGACATCCAATACAAGGGTTGCATTGTCAAAAAAAATTCTCCATAAGCAAAAAAATAAAATCAATTTTGTCTTAATTTTACAACATACTTTTGTTGTTCGTAGTGGTCTAAATTTGCAATTCATGAGAAATGATTCCAAGATATTTATTAATTTATTACTTAGCTATCCACAATGGGTGCATGACCAAATATTAGCAGCGGCACCATTACTCACTAATAAACATTGTTAAAAATACACCTCGAATGTGGTTAATTTAGATAGTAGCATTATAATTATCAGTTTTTGAAATGTATCTCATATACATGAAGGTCCACCTGATAAAGTGAACTGTGAGTCAAGTTTCTCACTTTTCAACATAAACACACACACAAACTCACACCAACACAAACACACACACACACACACACACACAAAGGTTAGCATGCGTCTGCTTTGTATGACTGAGCAATAGTTTGACTCCTATTGCTGTTCCACGAAAGAGGAGTGTCGTATACAGTAAGAGGTCATCTGAACCTCAGAGTATATTCAAGACAGAGCGAAATCAATTATTTGGCCTCGCTCTCGTTAGCCGTTGAATAATGCATCAGGCCGCAGAAAGTTGAGTAAAAGTTAAGTTGGAGTGCTCCCCGAATATTGATTGCTTGTCTGTTTGTAATGAAAGCCTTTGTGTATTGATTTCAGTTTGCGGCACCTTTACACATGTCCACCCTTTTAACATAATTGCTGTCACAGATCATCATTCTCCTGACCGATCAATCCTGGGCAGAGAGCCAGATGAAAAATACATATTCCGATATGCTTTAAAAAAAATGCCCATCAATACCCCATTTTATTGGATTTCCTCACTTGCTCCATATTGTGAGGCGACTGACTGGAGAGTGTCTTCTTGTAAATACAGTATGACATGGAAGAACAATGGTGGTATCGTCTTTTTTTTTGTCACCACAGAGTTGTAGTGGTGGGTGACAAGGTCCCATTTGAGGCTAGGTGCCGCCAGCATGCCACCCTGGAGCGGCCCAGCCGTGATGCTTGACTTTGGTGGAGATTTGCAAAGGCTCAAGGAGGGCTAAATAAAAATCGGTTCAAAAGGACAATCAGTCAAGTGCTTGGCTCCCCGAAGGCCCAACACTCTTGCAAATGCATTCATTTTATACTAGAAATGCTCTCATTGAAATATCTGCAAAATGAACTCGATTTCAAACATTAAAAGTGAAACATGCGCTATTGTAATCAAGATTATCACAGTATATTTACCTTTCCTCTCTCCCCATTAAATTGAATCATCAAATCTTGACAACACTTTCCTTTGCTGACTAAAATCCGCCAGCCTTTGACTCAGGTTACCAAATGGTTCCTTGCAGTAAAATACTTGTACAGAGGTGGGGTAAAAATCCTCTCCTTTATAAATGACTCTTGCTAAGTGCCTAATAAGGTCATGAACACATAGCCTCCCTCCTTGATGCAAATAAAAATGCAGCAGAGTCAGAGGCACTGTGCTACTTGGTGTGTTCCAGTGTGAAAATGGAGATTTTGCGTCCAACCTGTAAACGTTTGCTCCTTCTTACTGATGAGAGCCACCTTGGGTAACGCGTTGTATCATGCAATGCATAGCTCAGTGATGAAAGAGACCAAAAGTGGGCGCACTTAGCTCCTCGGGCTGCGCTGCTAAACTCCATGTGACCATGACGAGGACTCGCTCATTAGTGCGAACTTGGAAAAGGCTCAGCAGCGACTTTTGCTGAGGAGGTTGTGCCGCTCTTGGCGTGGCGTGGCGCGAGAGGCCTCGGCAGAAGTGCCGTAACCTGATCTCCTATATAGCTGCTCCCTGTGCGTCATTCTTCAATTATGTTTCGACAGCAGCGGAATTACTGTGGGCTGGATGCCCAGATGACTGAGGC